ATTCAAGAGAAGGGAACACTCCCAAGCTAATTTTACCAGGCTAGCATTATCCTAATTATAAAACCAGATAAAGACACTACAAAGAAAGAAAATTATAGAACAACATTCCTGATGAACATAGATGCTAAAATCCTCAAAAAATATTAACAAAATGGATCCAGCAATACATTTAAAAAATAATACAACATGATCAAGTGGTATTTATTCCTGGTATGCAAAATTGGTACAATATCCACAAATCAATGTGATATACCACATAAATAAAATGAAAGCTAAAGCTCCCATGATAATATCAATAGATGCAGATAAAATTTTTGAGAAAATCCAGTACTCATTTATCATAAAATCTCTCAACAAAGTGGGAAAAAGAATATACATCAACATAATAAAAGCTATATATGATAAACCCACAGCCACCATGTTACTCAATGGGCAAAAACTAAAACTGCTTTCCTTAAGATTAGAAATAAGACAAGTATATCTGCCTCCACCACTCTTATTCAACATAATACTTGAAGTCCTAGCCACAGCAATGAGACAGAAGACATGAAAGGCATGAAAATTGGAAATGAGGAAGTGAAATGGTCATTATTTTCAGGTGACATGACACCATACATAGAAAACCCTAAAGGTTCCACCAAAAAACTACTAGAACTAATAAAAGAATTTAGCAAAGTAGCCAAATACAAAATAAACATTCAGAAATTGGTTGCATCTTTATACACCAATAGTGAATTATTAGAAAGATAAATTAAGAAAACAATCCATTTCAGAATTACTTCAAAAAATACCTAGGATCAAATTTAACCAAGTATATGAAAGATCTGTAATCATAAAATTATAGGATACTGGAAAAAGAAATAGAAGAAAATACATGCTCATGGATAGGAAAAATGAATACCATCAAATGCCCATAATCCCCAAAACAGTATATAGATTTAGTTCAATTCCTATCAATATACCAATGATGTATTTGACAAAACTAGAATATTTTATAAGGAACCTCAAAAGAACTTGAATAGCCACAGCAATCTTGAAAATGAAGAACAAAGTTGGAGGAATCATGCTACCTACTATCAAATTATACTATGAGGCCACAGTAATCAAAACAGCATGGCACTGGCATGAAAACAGGTATGTACATCAAAGAAACCCAATAGAGAATACAGGATTAAAACCATGTGTTTTGTTTTGTTTTGTTTTGTTTTGTTTTGTTTTTGTCAAATACTGTTTGACAAAGGAGGCCAGAAAATACAATGAGGTAAAGAAAGTCTATTCAATAAATGGTGTTGGAAAAATTGGACAGATACATTTTTTAAATAAGGAACTAAATTAACTTCTTATACCACACAGAAGTATAAACTTAAAATGGATTAAAGACTTAACTGTAAGATTCGAAACCATAAAATTCTAGAAAAATACAGGTGGTAAATCTCAAACATAACCCATAGCATTATTTTTGCCACTATTCAGGCAATGGAAAGAAAAGAAAAAAAGGTATTACACCAAACTAAAAAGCTTCTGCATAACAAAAGAACACATCAACAAAATGAAAAGGAAATCCACTGAATGGAAAAATATAGTTGCCAATGATACATCTGATAACAGATTAATTTCCAAAAAAGATCATGAACTTATACAAGTCAACATCAGGAAGACAAAGAATCCAATAAAAAATGGGCAAGGGACCTAAACATAGACTTCTCCAAAGAGGACATAGAGATGGTCAATAAACATCTGAAAAGTCGTTCAATATCACTAATCATCATAGAAATGCAAATTAAAACCACAATGAGATATCACCTAACACCTGTCAGAATGCCTATCATCAATATAACAACAAAAAACATTTTGGTGAGGATGAGAAAAGGGAACCCTTGTGCACTCTTGGTGAGAATACAGATTGGTGCACCCACTGTAGAAAACAGTATGGAGTTTCCTCAGAAGTTAAAAACGGAACTACCTTATGACACAGCAATTCCACTTCTGAGAATATATCCAAATAAACACAAAACACTAACTCAAAAGAATATCTGTACCCATATGTTCATTGAGCAGAATTTATAATAGATAAGATTTGAAAACAGCCCAAGTGCCCATCAGTAGATGAGTGGATCAAAGAAAATAGTATAGTTTCACAAGGGAATATCATTCAACCATAAAAAAAGAAAAAAATCTTATCTTTTGCAACAGAATGCATGGACCTAAATAGTATTAAGCTAAGTGAAATAAGTCAGTCAGAGAATGACAAGTACCATATGATTTCACTCATATGTGGAATCGAATTAACAAATTAAACTGCTGAACAAAATAGATGCAGAGATATAGAAGCATGGACCAGATTGTCTAATCTCAGAGGAAAGGTGGTGGGTGGGAAGGTGAATGGGTGGGTGGGAAGAGATAAACCAAAGAACTTGTATGTGCATGCACATAAATCATGGACACAGAGTATAGCGAGGTGAAGGACTAAGGCAGGGAGCGGGCTAGAAGGGGTCAATGGGGGAAAAGGAGAACATTGGTAATACTTTCAACAAAAAAGACAACTTAAAAAAAAAAAGAAAAACACAGATTCACAGATAGAGAACCACTGTATGCCATTCAGCAGATGAGTGGATTAAAAACTGTGGTACAGCCGAAACCGGTTTGGCTCAGTGGATAGAGTGTCGGCCTGAAAGGTCCCGGGTTCGATTCTGGTCAAGGGCATGTAAATTGGTTGCGCGCACATTCCCAATGCGGGGTGTGCAGGAGGCAGCTGATTGATGTCTCTCTCATCGATGTTTCTGGCTCTCTATCCCTCTCTTTTCCTCTCTGTAAAAAAATCAATAAAATATATTTTAAAACAAACAAACAAATAAAAAAAAAACTGTGGTACATTTACACAATGGAATTCTATGCTACAGTAAAAAAGAAGGAACTCTTACCATTTGCAACAGCATGGATGGACTTGGAGAGCATTATGCTAAGCGAAATAAGCCAGTCAGAGAAAGAGAAATATCACTCATTTGTGAAATATAGTGAACAACATAAACTGATGAACAAAAATAGAGCCAGAGTCATAGAAGCATTGAAAAGACTATCCAACCTAAGAGGGAAGGCAGAGGAGGGGGATGAGATAAAAGATCAACTGAAGGAATTGCATGCATATGAGCTGAAACAATGGACACAGACAGTAGGGGGGGTGAGGGCATGTTCTGGGGGATGGAAGAGGCTGGGGAGGGATCAATAGGTGAAAAAGGAGATTTATGTATTACTTTAAACAATAAAGAACTTAAATATTAAGAAGTATATAAATAAAACTTCATCAAAATTAAGAACTGCTTTTAAATATTGTTAAATTTCATGGTTTTGTTTATATACTTATTAAAATTCAAATTACTTAGTGTTTAAAGTATTACATAAGTCTCTTTTTCACCCATTGACCTCTCCAGAGCCTTTTCCACCCCCAGCATATGCCCTCACTTCCCTCCACTCTGTTTGTATATGTTATTTCTTTTGTTTAATAAGTTATAACTCTATAAATATTTATTGAATAAAAATAAATTTGAAATAAAAAAGAAAGATACTGTTAAAGAGAATAAAAGGACAAACTATAGACTAGAAGAAAATATTTGCAAACAACCTATATGATGAAGGACTTACCATCCAAAATAAAACTCAGTAAGAAACAACCCATTTTTAAACATGGGCAAAGATTTGAACAGACATTTTATTAAAGTGAATACATAGATATCAAATAAGTGCATGAACAGATGACTCACATCATTAATCTTCAGGGTAATAAAATTCAAATCAACAAGGTACCACTACACATTTATGAGATGTCCAAAATTAAAACAAGACTGACCATATCAAGTGTTGACAAAGATGTGGAGCAACTGAAACTCTCATATGCTGTTGGTGGGAATGTAAAAATTATATAACCACTTTGGAAAAGTTTAAGTGTCTTTAAAATAAGTTAAAACATATACCTACTATATTACCCAATCATAGTTGGGGATAAAGAGGAATGAATAAGCAGAACATGAAGGACTTTTAGGACAGTGAAACTACTGTGTATGACACTATAATGGTAGATATTTGTCATTATACATTTATCCAAACCCATAGAATATACAACACCAACTATAAACCCTAATGTAAACTATGAAAGAAAACTAAAATAAAATATACAATCCAGTCATTATACTCTAAGTATTTAAATATGAAAAATGAAAATATATGTTCATACAATCATTTGTATGTGAATGTTTTAGCAGTTTTATTAGTAATATACAAAAACTGCAAACACAAACATCCATCAAGTGAATGAATATACAAATCATGGTGTATCCATAAAGTGGAATACTCAAAACAATAAAATGAATAAAGTATAGGTACATGTAACAATATGGGTGAATTTCAAAATAATTCTGCTAAAATAAATGAGACAAAAAATACATACTATAGAATTCCATTTATATAATATCCTAAACATTTAAACCAGTGGCAGAAAGCAGATTCAGTAGGGGTGGGACAGGATGGAAACTTGACAAGGGGTACAAAAAAACTGTTGGGGTGATGGAGAAGCTAATTATTTTGATTGTGATGATGGTTTCAGGGGTATATACAAATGTCAAAATTTATGAAAGTGTATGTTTTAATATATGCAGTTTTTTGTATGTAATTTATACCACCATAAAACTGTTTTAAACATAAATAAATTAAACACTACTCCCAGAGGCACTTTGGTAGCTTCTGTAGGCAAAGATCTACGTGTGGCCTTATATGCTTCATCCAGTTATTTAAATTGATCATGTGCCTAAGAGAATAATAAGTAGCACATTGAGATAATCTAAATGACCCAGGCAGATAGAAAATACGATTAATTGGCATATCCACTAAATGCTATGCAATGAAACAAACAGAACAGATAACATTTAATATTTCTATAGGAAAAAGAAACAAATTGATTTTTCTTAGTTTTGTTTCCAGAAAACATGTAAAGATTTACAAACAGATACCTCTTTGGATAATCTTGTGAAGACATCTCCTCCTCTGAGAAAATCCAGTATTAAATACAGCTTCCCTTCCGTCTGAAAGGCTGATTTAAAAATAGAATATAGTAATGTAACAATATTAAAGTCTTAAAAAGCTTAGTATACTTTTAACGTTTAGAATTTTATCATTGAACACTATATACCAATTAAGCATTTACTCACATGATCCATTGTTGGATCACATTATTTCAAAATTAAATCTGGTGTTGAGATAACTATAAAACGCTTCCAAGAACATAATCAATCTTGCATGTGGCTTCACAGAGAAACTTCTACTACCCTCATTTTCCTGATTTTTGAACATCATGTTATACTACTATTGCCTGAAGTCTGCATCCCCACCTATTGAAACCAAATTCTTTCAAGCTTAACCAAAATGCGGCCTCTTTTCCTCTAGTAAGGATTTTCCTCCTTTTCTCATTTCCTACAGCAACCTTACACTTCCCCATCAGCATTACTTGCTACTACTTTTAAGATCACATGGTACTTTATTTATGTCTCTCTTATGGTAGTTACTCCATTTGAATTGTATAGTTAATTTGTTTTCAAGTCTGTATTCTTTATAGATTACAAATTTCTTCAGGGCAGAGATTGTTTCATGGTTAGAGCTCATTACATCTAATACAGTGTTTTGTACACAACTGGTATATACTGATTAAACTAATGACATCCAGGAGATTAAAAGAAGTCTTTAGATACTACCATTTTCACTCCATTGGGGTAAAAAGGAGTGAAAGAATAATTTCTTGAATGTTATAGATATAGTTAGGTATATATTTTAATATATTACTTTTCAACATTACCTAAGAATAAAATAAATATCTGATACTTTTTTAAATTTAAAAAATTAAAAATGACATAGTAGTATATATTGGATATTTAATGATGTATATAACTTTGAATTTCCCAGGGAAACTAAACTCAGCAATATCATGCATACATTAAATTAGCAATAGAGCCATGATTCAATTTCAAATTCATGTTCTTTCTATAACATCTACTTCTTCTCATTGCTATTCCTCTCCTTCTAAATATAAGAAAGAATAACTCAAATTTACTAATAAAATTACATTATTATCTTAAATAGAACCAGGAAATAAGATAAATATGCTCATTGTGAACATGTAAGTGGAGCCACAAACACCATAACATTTTGAATAAATTATCACAGAATTTTATAGCCTAATGTCACAGGAGATAAAGCCTAGTAGGATAGAGAAATATTATTAGACAAATAAGCGGAAGACACTATATTGTTTACTTAGACAAGTTAATCAATAAATATAAGAAATACAACTAGAAGCTAGATATTGATCCTTACTTCAGATACTTTTCATATAGCTGAGTATATTAAATAATTTAAAGTATTTATTTCTTGTTATATTATTGTCTGAAAGTAAATCCTTTTTATGTCACTAGACAATAAATTAAAACTTTATTGAAGCTTAAATTGTGGTACAGAAATACATTTCAACTGATTTAAGTCCAACACTACCATGAAGAGCTAAATTATGGCATCAAAACTGTCCATCTATCATAACATACTAGGATTAATTTAAATTACTACAGTTTTCATTTTTCTAGGTTTTGTTTCACACAAATTTTTGCAGTATTTCAACAATAGAAATTTCAAATATATTAGAAAAAATATTAGACCTCAAGCCAACACATGTCATAAAATCTACTGGAACACTGTTCAAGAACAAAATCCACTTTGAGCTTTGGTCCTCAAAACAATACCAAACAGCCAAAACCAGTTTGGCTCAGTGGATGATAGAGTGTAGGCCTGTGGACTGAAAGGTCCCAGGTTGGATTTCGGTCAAGGGCATGTACCTTGGTTGTGGGCACATCCCCAGTAAGGGGGAGGGGGGAATGCAGGAGGCAGCTGATTGGTGTTTCTCTCTCATTGATGTTTCTAACTCTGTATCCTTCTTCCTTCCTCTCTGTAAAAAAAGCAATAAAACATATTTCAAAACAATAACAAACAATAGGTACTGTGTGCAAATTACAGAATCAAACTGATCTATTAATTGAAAACTTCTTCAATGAAAATTTGATTCAAGAACATGATTAAAATAAAATTTGAAGTGTTCCAACCACTTGATTTTATATTTAGAAACACTAGGGGGAAAAACCTGTTTCATTTATAAATATATAAGGAACAAAAATAACATTGTATCAAGCCACACAAAAAATTAAATATTTTTGAGGAAAAAAATATAAAATTTAGTCAACTCTACTGTTTTCTAGGCTGATAAATATCACAGTATTTGCAAATACAGCTAAAAAATGCAACCTTTGAAAGCTGTACTTCTAGTCATTTCCCACTGACCATTTTGTAATTCTGCATGTTGTTTTATGGATAGCAATATGCTTCACTGTGTATGTCTGGTCATTCGTTTAATCCTTGGAAACCATGGTGAAAAAAACACCACCAATAAGAACAACACAAATTCAAAACACCCAGCACATGCATCATAAAGACACAGAACTTCATTCAAGTCACAAGGTGACAGACATTAAAGCCACTTGAACTAAAGTTTATGGTGTATTACTGATGCAATTTAGTGGAAATGGCTGTTAAAATTAAAAATAAGGTGAATGATCTGATTTGACTTACTGAATCCAGCACAAACTATATCTGAAATCTCCTTGCTAATATAGCTAGTGATAAATTTTTATACTACTATTTAGTAAGTTAGTAAAGACATGGTACTTATGAAAAGTAAATCTTATTTACTGAATAGTACAGAATGGCATACAGTTCCCATATAGTTCTGCCATTATATTCTAATATTAATCTATGTATTTTCTTACTAATCAACACTTGAGATTTATTTTGGTTACTATCTTCTAAAAGAGCCAATGCCAATTCTTAAAAAGCCAAACTCCCTTGATCTTAAAAAAAAATTTAGTCTAGGGTCCACTCCCTTTCCCCCTCTAGGGTATAAGATTGGTATAAACCCAGTGTAAGAGTGTATTGCTCTATTGAGGTGGTTTGGGAGGGGAAGAACAAAATCAAAGGTATAGAAGCTCAGGAGGCAATAATGTTAAAATAGTAATACACAAAATGGTTAATTGCAATCACTTTGTTAAGAGGACTCAACTCATGGAAGACAAACTTTAATTGCTATTGCAAAATATATATATATGAAGTAGAAATTGGTGTCAACAACATTAGAAGAGAATATGTTCTAGAAATTGGAGGTAACTAGATGAATAACCTGGCAGCAATTTAATAGAACAGCCCCACTTATTAGGCTGAGGCCAACACCTAAGGAAGATAAAAGCATTGTCTGTAAGGAATTTTGTATAGTAACTAGAGAAATATTACACTGTGTATAAACCAAATTGATTTGTCACAAGTGTTGGAAAGTCTCATAGTTTTTTCTACTTGCACTTAAATTTCACAGTAAGAGCATCATAGAATAAGAATACCTAAACACAGAAGAGAGCATTCAAGTAAGATATATAACTCCTTTATATAATAATGCATACAACTTAAAGTAATTATATCTAGGGCTTTCTACATATTACATACCATAATGCAATTTGACAATAAATGGATGATTTACTTCCACAAGTATATCCCTCTCCATCTTTGTGCGAACTCTGTCTCGAACTAAAAATTAGAGGTTAGAATATGTTAATTATTATTGTATATATTTCCATAAACATTTCATAAAACAAAAATGTAAAAATATAAAACATAACTTTATAAGTTCTTAAATTTGCAGTCTATATATGCCTAAAGAGTAATTACCATATACTCAGAAAGCAAATACAGTTAACATCTCAAGGTGGTTTAAAGTGAAATAAACATGTATTTGACTTATATACATTTTTAATGTATTAGTAATTAATTTTTCTTAGTAATTAATTTTTAAAGTGAGTTTATTGATTAAAACTGAGCATGGTGGTTTCTGATCAGAGCCTAGAAGGCAGTGTATATAAGAGTATGCAGGCAGTTGTGCATTCTCAATATGTAATAGCAACACAGATGGAACAGAAAACAAATAAAAGAATATAGCTTAATAAAATAAATTATTTTTATTAAATGTGTCACTTTTTACGCCATTAAATTTTTATTATGGTATACTCTCATTAAATTAAGATATATACAAATATCAACCCTAGAAATATCAATTACAGCTAAAAAAAAAAAAAACCTAAATAATTACTAAATTAAAAAAAAAAAAACCAAGACAAAAAAGTTAAGAACCATATGATTTCAATCATAGGTGGGATGGAAAACTGAAATTAACTCATTAACAAATGAGAAAAATGAAATAAAATGCATAGACATACACAACAGTATGTTAGCTATCAGAGGGAAGGGGGGTAAGAAAGTAGTAAAGAAAAATGGAGTCACATAGATGGTGACTGAAAAAAATTTGATTTTAGCTGGTGGGCACACAATGCAATATAAAGATGATGTATCATAGAAATGTATACTTGAAACCTATATCATTTTATTAATCAATGTCACCCCATTAAGTTTAATTAAAAATGAAAAAGAAAACCAAAGCTACTCAACTTATACAAGCAATACACAGAATATTTCTTAAAATGAGATTTATCAAATTCTATTTAAATAAGCTTTCTAATTTTCTACCTTTCAAAGAAGCTTTTTTTAACACCTTCATTGCATAGAGTTGTCCAGCATCAGGGCCAGTCTTCTTTCTAACAAGAAAAACCTAACAGGGTAATAAAAAACAGTAAAATTAACTTTCAAGCACTTTTTGCTATATATATACATTAGCACATGCATATGTCCTTGCATTTTTTATTTTATAAAGGTAACATTCCTATAAATTATATGCTCTTAATACTTTCTCACTTTCATTCATTCAGTAAATCACATTGTCATACACACTACTGTGAAGAAATTTAAAAAATATATGATATGGTCATGGACTTTTTTATGGATAGCAAAAATAACAAAACAATTTGAGCTAATGGGGCTCTTTTTAAAAAATATATATTTTATTGACTTCTTACAGAGAGGAAGAGAGAGGGATAGAGAGTTAAAAACACCGATGAGAGAGAATCATGGATCAGCTGCCTCTTGCACACCCTCTACTGGGAATGTGCACGAAACCAAGGTACATGCCCTTGACCAGAATCAAACCTGGGACCTTTCAGTCGGCATGCCGATGCTCTATTCAGTGAGCCAAACCGGTTTCGGCTCCTTTTAAGACCCAAGATCCTTTTTGTTGCCTTAATAAAGAGCAACCTATGTGATGACTATTAATTTGATATCTTTATTTCTACTTCCTTTTCAGTCCATTTTAGAAGTTACTAGGAATTTTAATTTTTAATAAGAAATCAGGTGCAATTCTTATCTGTGTGCCCAGTAAAAGAATCATGATGGAAAATTACCTCAATTAACAAATGAAAGTTAAACTCTTTGAAGTTGCCAATAAAGCTTAAATAATATATCACATTTTTAAACTAATATTATGACTCATTAAAATTTAAATTTTAAAAGCCAGATATAAAGAGAAATGTAAATAGATTTCAGTTTTATGTGTTATTAGTAAAATGGAGTTTTTGTGTGTTTTTTTTAATATATATTTTATTGATTGTTTTTTTTTACAGAGAGGAAGAGAGAGAGATAGAGAGCTAGAAACATCAATGAGAGAGAAACATTGACCAGCTGCCTCTTGCACACCCCCCACCGGGGATGTGCCCGCAACCAACGTACATGCTCTTGACCAGAATTAAACCTGGGACCTTTCAGTCTGCAGACCGACGCTCTACCACTGAGCCAAACCGGTTTCGGCAGTAAAATGCAGTTTTAAAAAATAATTAGCAAAACCTGTTCAGTGCTTCAACATGCCATCCCCAACTCTAGCATGTTCTATTTAAGTGTTGCTTAAATTAAAAATATTATCAAGTAACTAATCTATACTAATAAAAGAGAAACATGAAAATTGACCATCCCTCTATTAAGTCCATCAGCCAATCAGGAGCAAGTATCCAAATTAACCCAACAAAGATGGCAGTGGCCATGGAGCTGGAAAAAGCAGGAGGCTTAGGTTGCCCCGAGCAATGGAGGAAGCCAAGCTACCAGCTGGCCCTGGCCTCCATTCAAGGAGGGGCTGGTTGGGGCGGGGGGTAAGAAGGAGGGGCTGTGAGCCTGGGTCACCAGGGTTTGTGGCCAGCCTGAAAATGACCCTCAGCCCCTTACCCAGACTGGCCAGGCACCCGGGGAGGGACCCCCACCATGAAGGTGGTATGACCAGCCTGAAAACAGCCCTCAGTCCCTCATCTAGTCTGGCCATGCCCCCATGAAGTAAGAGTCCCTGCTCGGGGGACTGACTATCTTGCAACCAGCCATCAGCACCTCACCCAGGCTATCCAGGCACCCCAGTAGGGACCCCCACCCTAAAGGGGCTCTGGCCAGCCTGAAAATGGCCCTCAGCCCCTCACCCAGACTGGCTATGCCCCATGAAGTAAAAGTCCCTGCTTGGGGGCATGGCCAGCCTGCAAACAGCCATCAGCTCCTCACCCACTTTAGCCATGCCCCATGGGGTGAGGGTCCCTGCTGGGGAGAATGGCCAGCCTGCAAACCAGCAGCCCCTTACCCAGGCTGGCCAGGCATCCCAATGGTAACCCCCACACTGAAGGGGGTGTGGCCAGTTTGAAAACAGCCCTCAGCCCTTCACCCAGGCTGGCCACATCCCCCACAGCGGGGTCCCTCACCCCATAGGGGCATTGCCAATCAGAAAACCACCACAGGCCCCTTGCCCAGGCTGCCCCATGCCTCAGGCCCTGATCCAGGATACCCTTCAGGGCAAACCAGCTGGCCTCCACCCATGCACCAGGCCTACATCTATACTAATAAAAGGGTAATATGCTAAGTAGACTGGGAAATCTTCCAGGAGACTTTCCAGACATTCTTCTGGACAAAGCCATGGCGGCAGGGCCAAGGTAGAGGTGGTTAGAAGCCAAGAGGGGAGGGCAGTTTTGGGTGATCAGGCCATGATGGGAAAGCAGTTGTGGGTGATCAGGCTGGCCCCGGTGGCGGGGGCAGTTGGGGGTGAGAAGACTAGCAGTGGGACAGTTGGGAGTGATCAGGACAGCGCGGGAGGGGGTAGTTTGGAGTGAGCAGTTCAGCAGAGTGGCAGTTGAGGGCAAGAAAGCTAGTGGGGAGGGAAGATGAGAGCAAGCAGGCCATCAGGGGGTGAAGTTGGGGACAAGCACACTGGCATGGGGCACAGTTGGGAATGATCAGGCTGGCTGGGGGGCATTGGGGGAAAGCAGGCCGGCAGACAGAGTGGTTAAGGGCAATCAAGTAGGCAGGCAGGTGAATGGGATGTCCGACTGCCAGTTTAGGCCTGATCCCTGTAAACTGGCAATAGGACATCCTTCAAAGAGTCCCAAATTGGAGAGGGTGCAGCCAGGCTGAGGAAAACAACCCCTCTACCCCCACTAGTTTGTAGACATAAAATTGCAGATGGGAGAGCTGTTGAGTAATTGTTGTCTTGCCTATTTCCCAAGATACAGCTCAAAACCTTTTATTGAAGATCTTTTATTTGTAATTATATATCAGTCAACTCAAGGGAGGTTTTTCACTTCATGGAATTTCCACTTTCTTTTATCCTAAAAGTAAGGCTTTATTTCACGCATAAACTCAAGGACCATTTAAGTTTAGCACTTTCACAGTCATGCAGGGTAATGCTGCTCATACTTTCTGTGTAGATAAATAAGTATTTTTGCCCTTTCCTCCAACCCACTGTAGATCTTACTTTTATTAAATACTAGAGGCCCCTTGCAGGAAGATTCCTGCAATAGGGCTTCCTGCTGCTGTCTCCACAGCCTCACTGGCTTCTCTCTCTTCTCCCGTGCTCCACCTGCTTCCCTTCCTTCTCTGGTGCCCCACTTGCTTGCTTCTCTGTAGCTTCACTCCCTTCTGCAGTGCTTGGCTTCTTTCTATGCTGTCTTCAGTCTTTGCTCTGGCCTGGATATGCAAATTAACCGCCATCTTGGTTGGGTTAATTTGCATACTCTCCCTGATTTCCTGGTGGGTGTGGTGGTGGGTATAGTGAAGGTACAGTCAATTTGCATGTTTCTCTTTTATTAGAGAGGATATAGAAAACTTAAATGTCATACAAGATATAATCCCGTTTTAAACTAATAGATTCCACACATTAAATTACTCTATTAAATTTCTATAAACATTTCTAAATGCTTACTCTAAGATTTTTAACATGTCACACAGTGAACCAGTAACAAACAGTTCATACCACATTGGAGGAAACTATTCAAGAGAATCCACAAGCTAACAAAGGGTTGTTTGTGTTTTTTTTGTTGTTGTTGTTGTTTTGCTTTATTTTTGCAACATAAAAGTATCTTTGTACTAAAAAGAGTTTAGGAGTTTAACAAAATAAAAAAAAAATTTATATCACCATAAATATTTTTGTATGCAAAGAGCTAACAAATTAAAACTGCTACCATCTCTTACTTCATTGTCTAAAATCTAGTCTGAAATCCAACACAATTTCCTCTGAGCAAAAGAGAATTCTAAGAAAGTATGTATCTTTTCATAAAGTATTATGGTGGCTTCATTTCATGGAGTTATTTTTACTGGATATAAACTTAAAAGTGATATTCTTAAAAGTTCATAATTTTTACTGATAAAAATGGTAATCATTTGATCAAAGAGTGCTAAATTTAGCATACACATAGTCTGCCTTCAGTGATTTTTATAAAATAGAAGCAATAAAAGTTAACTTCTTATAAATGAACAGTGCTAAGTCTCACTTTTTCATTGCAAAATAATATCATTCAACCTGAGTTAGACAGAAGGAACACACGAACTACATTATCAAGGTGTTCTCAATGTCATATAACACTTATTGATCAAGTTCAAGAAGCTCAGAACTCAGATGCATATTTTCTCATCTGTTTTTTCCCCTCAAGTCTGCAGTTGTTGGGAAGCAAATAGAATTTTATATTATTAGTACATCTAATTAAAGGGGCAGTCTTTATCAATTTTAACAATTGATTAAAGGATTACCATCACACACACACACACACACACACACACACACACACACACACACACACCTTCAAAGCTAAGCAAATGGTATTAACCCTAATAACCAGACTTAAAGTTTTCACTCAATTTTACTGATAAGAGCAAATAAATGAAGATAACCAAAGAGTTCCATTTTTTCTAATCAATATCTTGTGACTAAGAGGATGAAAACATATACCCCGTTTCCAGAAAATAAGACAATGTCTTATATTAATTTTTGCTACCAAAGATGTGCTAGGTCTTATTTTCAGGGGATGTCTTATTTTTCCATGAAGAAGAATACGGTACACATTTATTGTTAAATAAAAATAAAGAAAATTTATTTACCTGTATATGGTACGGTAGTATGGTAGTTGTCAACACAAACCAAACAAACTGTGAACCCTACAGTATCAAGAATTTACTCATTTATTCAATGACAATCATGTCATCATCTTCTGGAACATCATCATAACAATCCAATTCCTGAATTTCCTGGTGAATTTCTTGTGACTCCATTTCTTTCAGAATCAGTGGACCAAATCTCTCATGTTTAGCAATAGCACTGTCTTCAAATGAGTACTTCTTGTCAAGGTAGCCTGCTCGCAGTGCATTTGCAATGCAACTGTCAGTGATTTTCTCCCATGAATTCTTCATCCAAGTCTCAACTTC